CAAAATTATATAGTAATGATTAATTCATAGATTTAGAACAGCTCATATTGCTGGGAGTATGTGGCTGTGAATTCCTAGCTATACAGTGGACATCTGTATCACTCCATACCTTAAAAATCCAGGGACAATGAAGAAGAAGGAAAGAAAGAATGTAAAAAAAAAGCATAGAATGAGGAGAGGTGCTGTGAAAGTGTATTCTCTTGGTTTTGCAAACATGAGTTCACATCACTGTGGTTACCTGCATAAGGCCCACATAAGAGCAAGCCAGTTAAAAATTCCAGAACGGAGTAGGGAAAGCTCCTGAATTAAAAATTCCAGCATGGAGTAGAGAGAGCTCGCATATACCTGAGAAGCTAAGAGCAGCTAAAGGATGCTGAAGGCCCAGTTTTGTTGGAGGGCAGTGTGTATCCTTTGGGTGTGGTTGGTTTCCTGTTGCTAAGTGGATGACACCCCTACTGTGCTTGTGGGAATTATTAATTGGACATGAATTTGGGAGGAGCATGGAGGATATATTGGGGAAGTTTTGGGGAGTTAGAGTGAAGAAGTAAGAAACTGATATGTATAAGATACTTTGTCTAAAAATATGACATAAAAAAGACTAGAAAGGAAACCAAAAAGGCTGAAAATATAGCTTATTGGTAGAGCACTTACCTGGGGCATATAAGATCTTTGTTCAACATCAAGTATCACAAATCTATATGAACATAGTAAAAACATGGAGAACTACTAAACTAACAGAACCAAACATAATAAGAGAGAGCATGTAGAGTCTTTTCAATGTTTTCAGATCTCAGAAATCTAATTAATATTTCTGTTATGTCAGTTAACTCAGGGTATGTTTTAATCAAATAGATCCATTTCTTGTTTCACTGTGTTCATTAAAACTGCTAGAGGGACTGACTAGTACTGAAAACGTTTGATGAGATAGGGACAATGCTGACCTAAGCACTCTGATGACCATTGGTATGAGGCAGTGATATGGCTTGTCATATTCCTAGAAAATTAGAAGTCTTCTCAAATGTTCAGGACAATATTCAGTTATAGGCAAAAACTGTTGTTAAGTTGCTTGGAACTTCACATCTTGATTTATAGATAGTCAAAGTTGTGTCCTAAAACAGAGCTCTTTAGGAGGGCCTGAGAGGTACACTGCTACTATGATCTCTTGTGATTTCTATCTAATAATTATTATTGTGGAGTTCAATATCACTGACAAAGACTATCACTAAACTTGAATTTAGAAAAAAATGTTCATTTACAACAAATTTGTGGAACAGTCTCCTTGCTAATCTGAGAGCTGCTGCAAAAGGAATCACAGAGGATGGAGTTTTTAATGGAATTAAAACACAATTGTCCCTACTCTGGGATTTTCTGCATTATCATTTTTGTTTTGTTTTTGTTTGATTATGTGTGTGTTTGCAATTTTACTGAGCAAGCATCAGTTAAGTGAGAGTAAAGAAACATAATGAGCAGCCAATTAATATTTTAGGATAACAATTATATGATAAGAGTTAGGGGGAACCAATTTTCAGAAATGAGACAGTGCTTTGAGGTCAGTTGTTTCTTTAGATTGCTGTCAAGACTCAACTGCTGATGGACTGACCGTGTCCTGCTCCAAATATCCTGTGGTTAACAACCTTAGGCTAAGTATAAGTCCTGCTGACTCTATGATTTATATGTGACAACTTAGTTTTCAACCATTACTTAAAGAACTACCTCTCTCTCCATGTAATATCAAAAAATGGAATTTACAGACACCATGGCAGTGATTAATCCTTTCATATGAGTTTAAGAATTCTAGGGAGGGGGCAAAGAGTCAGAGTTTCTAGAAACTTATCTTTTAGGAATTATAATGGGTGTCTAGCACAAAATGGTATAAGCCATTGTATTATTAAAATTCATATTTGAAATTATCAGAGAGTGACCTAAGGTAGGATGAAGTGCAAAAGCTCAGTAGGATGTGATGAGAGACCTCATCCTTAGCCGTTGGACAAATTCTGGGTCTCTGCAACTAAGGATGCACCAATAAGGAACGTACAGAAAAATACAAGTAGATATATATTAATCCTAATGAGAAGAGTAGACCTTCCCACTGTGAAGCTCATGCTGATGCTTAGAGATCACAAACATAAGACAAATCCTGCTGTTGTTGCAGAGTGCTTGATAGAGATGAGGAGTCCACACTTTAAAAACATCTTTGAAGGAAGATTTCTAGGTGGCTCTACCAATCCCAAACTGTTCCTAATATCCCCATAGTCCAATGGTATACATTGTATGGAGCATCAAAAGGATGCCACATCACAGTGAAAAATGCTTGTTGTTTCCCATCAATTTCCCCAACCAAACAAGAGGCATAATCCAGGTCTGGCTTCCAGAAGAGCTGCCTCAGCATCTTCTGTTACTGTGTCCCTGTGATAAAAGTCAAAATTATATGCATGCTGAGATACATACTTACATTTCCAAGAAAGTCCTTCCCCATTGCTTTACTTCAAGTCAAAAGCTACTCGATTCTTTCTTCCTCTTCTTTGGTCCAGACAGCTTGTGGGTAAATACAGCTTCTTGATATTCTCGTAAACTCTCTTACACTGATCCTCTACTTTCTTTCTGAATAATTCCTCAACAGGACTGAGACAATATGAAAAATACTTAGAAAAATTTCCTTAAGTGCATCTTGAAATGGGCCAATTAACCCATGAACATGAAATATCCCTTTGTGATAGCTGCCTGTTCTGAGCACTTTACAAATCAGTGTGAAACCTATGTCAATAGGTAGAGGGGTCTGTGGTATCTTGTCAACCTCCAGTGTGAATGCTTTCCTGTACAATAGTCCCTGGGACCACTGCTCGTTTTACTCTTGATGGTGCCACATGTACTCCTGTAACTTACTTTGGCTGAAGAGAAGATAGGAAACAAGGAGGACATTAAGAGAGTCATACATGGTCCCCAGGAGAAGAGGAAAGGGACAAGATCTCCTGAGCTAATTGGGAGTGGAGAGGGAGTTAGAAGAAAGAGAAGGGGAGAAGAGGATGGGGAGCAGGACATGAGAGAGCAGGAAGATTCAGTCAGGGGAAAAACTGAGGAGAGCTACCAATAGAGGGAGCCATTATAGGTTTAAAGAGAATCTCACTAGGGAAATGTCTAGAGATCTACAAGTTTCACCCCAACTAACCATCTAAGCAATAGTTGAGAGGCTACCTTAAATGCCCTACTCCAATAATAAGAATGACTGCCTTATATGCCATCCTAGAGCCTTCATTCAGTAGCTGATGGAAGCAGAATCAGACACCCACAGCTAAACACTGAATTGAACACTGGAATCCAGTTGCAGAGACAGAGGTGTAATGAGCCAAGTGTCAAGACCAGGCTGGAGAAACCAACAGAAACAGCTGACCTGAACAAGGGGTTGCTCATGGAAGCCAGACTGATAGCTTGGAAACCAGCATAGGGCTGTTTCAGAACCCCTGAGTAAGGATGCCAGTTTGGAGATAGGGGCAATCTATGGGGCCTCTGGTAGTGGTTCAGTATTTGTCCCTAGTACAGGAATGGACTTTGGGAGCCCACTCCACATTGAGCGATACTCTTTCCGCCTAGACACACGGGGGAGGGTCTAGGCCCTGCTCCAAAGGATATGACAGACTCTGAAGATCCCCATGGAAGGCCTCACCCTCCCTGGGGAGCAAAAAGGGGATGGGTAGGGGATCTGTGGGGGGCAGGGGAGGAGGAGAGGGAGAGGGAATTGGGATTAACATGTAAAAGAAGCTTGTTTCTAATTTAAAATTGGTCTAATTACAATTATAAAAATAAAATAAAAATATACTTTGGCTGTTTAATAGTTACCCTCTGCATCTCCTCAAATTCACTGTAGTGAGATCATTAAGACTCGGGGATATAGGGAAAGTCATAGGAAACACCTGATATCACCCTCTGTATAATACATAGGATAGTTAGAGAAGGACAAAGTGTAAATGAAATAGGACACTTGAGAAATTGAAAATGTCTCTGAGGTGTTTCAATTAAGGTTCAATTAGGTGAATATATTCTCTTTTCTTTCAAGAGGATGGGAG